TCTTCTCCAAAGAGATCTCTCTTCGCATTAGGTGACCAAAGTATCTGAGCTTGAGCTTCATTATCAATCCTTCCAATTGACAATCCTAAATAATAATAATAACAACAACAACAACATCAACAAACTCTTGAAGACCATCAGCATTGACAAAATCGCCACCAGTCAATTGCAAAAGGCAGCTTTACTTGAAACAGCTTACATCCTGCGACGATACCTTTAACACCATCCAATAAGAACATCTGCCTATCCCAGGTCCTTGGGAAGGACTCAACAGGTGGACAAAAATGCCAAATCCAGTCTAAACATCTGGCTGACTATGCAACCAACAATATAATAATATAATATTAATGAAAGCATCAGAAACCAGGAGAGGCTGTTCTGTGCAAGCCTGGTGAACTGTGGGGTCTTCAGTAAAACAGGGCTAAATAAGCTATGGGTTAGTGTGACATGCTCATCCATATAGTCTCTCTATCAGGGAAGAAATTATAATGAAGCAAAATCAAAACCAATACAGTAGGGTTTCCTGGAAAACTGCATGGTGTGGAGGAGTTCTGTCTCTTAGAAGCAATCTTTTCCCCTGTGTTGTAATTGGCTGACTAAATAACAGTTAAGGCTGATTTAATTATAATTATAATGAAAGGGTAGGGAGAGACATTTCCCCCCTCCCTTTATGGTTTAAAATTACTTATTTCACAGGGCTTTTTTCTTTCTTTCTAAAGTCATTTCATGGCACAAAACTTCTCCCTACTCCCAAAATAGAAAGAATCAAGCCATTTGTAAGAGCGGCTAGAAGATGGTTACTAAAATCTGAAAAAAGGCATATCTTGAGAAGATGGGCACCTTTATTTCCCATTTTTATGTGGGATGTTAACACACTAATTGACATTTTTGCATGTTAATAAATGGCACTGCTCGACTGGGTGAAGTCATCAGGAGTAAACTGGATATTGCAAGAGACGTATTTCATTGTGGCGGGATATAAATGTAATAAATACAGTTAGGAACAATCCCACTGGAGGTGATCAAGAGCCATTCTAGTCCAGGTCAACCAAAGACTCAAAGTTTTTTTTTTTCCAATTGATTTATTGAATTTGCATGTGGCCTGACTCCCGATGACTCTGGACAACCCATAGTAATTGACAAACACCTCCCTTGTAGCTGGCTACTATTTTTAGATTCTTTGGAATAAGAAAGAGGTAGCTCGTGTGCCAAAAATGGAAGAGTTGTTTCCCTGCATCCTCTTTGCTTACCAGAATGCCTCTGGAGCCCACATTTGTCTCAGAGGCATTCTTGGAAAATACAAAAGGAGAGATGGCTGTTACCAAGACCTTTACTTGGAGGATTGTCCACCTACATGGGGAAGGGAGGATTCAAAGGGAAGCAGGGAGCATTGGGGGCCATCACCCTGACTGTCTTCTCACGTCCATTTTTTGAGAGCATCCGCAACTTGCCCAAGAATGGGCCCACCAGCCCAGGTAGGTTGCTCACCCCTGAAGTAATCCACCATCTTTGAAAACTCTTCTTAACTTGAAGAATCTTTTTAAAAATACAAAATCAAGGGGCATGAAAAGTCTGGAGATTTTAAAAAAGGTGTTGGGGGGGGGGGACTGCGTCACCTTTCCTTCCTGGGGTAAGTTGCAAGAGAGAAACAGTATTGCATCACAGATGGGGCTCATTATTCATCCTCTTCAGCCTACTGCTTGCACTTCCGATCTTCCTTCTCCACTTGAGATTTTACTCTTTCCCTTTCCTTTAAGCTCTCCTCAGCCTGTTTAAAACCAAAAAGCTTTCTTCCATTGCCCGCCTGCTGTTG